TTAAGGGGGGGGGGGATGTCTTGGATGCTCTGCCCCCAGATGAATGCCAAAGTCATCTTTGGTCTGCTTAGAAGTGCTTAGTTTGCTTAGAAGTCCTGCATCCAGGGGTTTTATTCTGAGGGACTGGCCGACGTACAGGCAAACCTGGAATCAATTTGTGGTCCTGAAGATAACTTTAATTACAAATGAAGTCACGCTTACGGCCGAGAATGGCACGTAACAGAGCTGAAGAAAAGAGTTCTCCAGAGATTCAGTGGCTTTTTTACTTGGCAGCCTTTGAAAACGAACACTGAAAAAGAGTCTTGGATGATCCTTACTGAGGTTTATGGTGTAGGTCTGGGGGACCTTAAATAATGCCTTAGTTCAAAGCCCTGACGCAATGTCTTCATTAGTTGATTTATCTCAGATGAAGTAGGGATTGGAAGGCCCAGGGAGGTAGCTAATTTCTGAGGCACTTTGGTAACCAAGAGGAAAGTCTGGAAAATGAAACAGCACATTATTAAAGATGTGTCTTGCAGGACAGGTGGCCAGGTTAACCACAGGATAAGGAGGGGGTTGTCTCAGTAGAATGGAATGCCGTGAAATGAGGAACCCCTTTGGTGCTGTTTTATCCCAGTGCTTTCTCTGCTGGCCCTACCACTAAAAGTAGTCACACGACCCCAGTAGCACTGGAGTCTTGAATCAGATTTGTGTAAGATTATGCATTTTTTATTTTTAACAAGGAACTCCCATCACAAGGTGAGAAGCCCCTGCGATACTTCCATTACAATTTGTCTTATTGCACATTAGAAAGTTCAGCCTGAGCATGGATTCTCACTAAAAAGGGGGCTTAGGGTTGCTTTCCCCCAATTGGGGGCAGGGGGTTTCCTGTGGGTTTTTTTTCTTGCCTGCCGCTGGCCAGCTGGAGGAATCCCCCCCCCCCCATAATATAGGGACATTGCTGGAAATAAATGTGACGTGGCTACGTCACCTGGGCATGCCGTTGATGTTGGAGGGGGAGACACTCTGGTTTGGGGGCAAAACTCTATGGTTTGAGGCTGATTTTACCATGGAGTTTTACCTAAAAAAACAGAGCGTCACCTCCCCCCCTTGATGACACTGGCATGTCTACATCACTTCTGGGTGTTTCAGATGGACCTGGCAACCCTAGAGGGGCCTGGCTCAGGAGCAAGCTTGGCATAGCCAGCTCAGAGACCCCTAGCCAAGGGATTCGAGTGGGATATAAAGTCGAATGATAAATAAATAAATAGTGACAGACTCTGGCGTTACCAGGCGTCATTTCCTGCAGGAGCGCACGGGAGTGGAGCTCCGGCAGTAAAGAGCCCAGGGGGCGGGCACATGCAACAAGCCCCACCCTCTGCTCCCAGCAGCCCTCAGTCAGAGCAAGAAGCAGCCAGGTAAATTGCAGAACCCCCCCCCCCGGCCCCAAACAGCCCAGTGGCACCTTTAAGACCAAGTTTTATTCAGGTACAAGCTCTCCCTCCTCTGCGAGGACAGATCTGCACGTCCCCGTCCCCCCAATAGCTAGCAATCCAAAACAGTCCAGTGGAGCCTGAGCGGTGGGTGTTGCCTTCTGACACACTTCCAGTGATGTCAGGGGGGGTGGCATATGCAAATAAGTTATGCTAATGAGCTCCTGCACCTGTTTTTCTATGAAATGACCCCTGGGCGTTACTAACCTCCAGGTGGTGGCTGGGATTGCAACGGATCTCCAGGCAACAGAGATCAGTGCCCCTGGAGAAAATGGCCGCTTTGGAAGGTGGACTCTGTGGCATTCTACCCGGCTGAGGTATAATCTCCCTAGTCCCCCAGTCCTTCCCATGGACACTTTCCTTCCAACTGAACCCACCTCCAGCATCCCAGCCAGGCCGAGGGAAAAGTGGAAGGAGGCGGGGGAGAAATAAGCTGCTCCAAACCCTGCCCCTTTTATATTACAAATAAGACCCCCTGCTGGGATTGCCCACCTCTAGACGGGGCCTGGAGATCTCCATCTCCTGGAATTACACGTGATCTCCAGACTCCAGAGATCAGTTCCCCTGGAGAAAACGGTTGCTTTGGAGGCTTTCTGCGGCTGGCAACCATAGATCCTCCTCAGCCCCTATGTTATATGTGATTAGGCTAGACTTGCATCTAAAGAGATGTTATAGGGTTGCCAGCTCTGGGTTGGGAAACACCTGGAGATTTTGGGCGGGTGGAGCCTGAGGAGGGTGGGGTTTGGGGAGGGATCTAGTGCCATAAAGTCCACCCTCCGAAGCATTTTTCCAACCAGAAACAGCCTCAGGCTTGCTATTTTGGGAATTCCCAGAGGTCATTTGGGGGGGGACGTGGGGGATCGCAGTTCCCCTGGGTGAGGTACAGGGGGCGGGGCACATGATGAAGCCCCGCCCCCTGCTTCTGGCCGCCCCGCTTCCGGCCCTCATTCAGCCAGGAGGAGGCAGGAGAAGAGGAAGGATAAGTTGCTCCCTCCCTGCCCCTCCCCACCCCTGCCTGCCTGGGGCCAGGGAGGGCCTTTGCGGGGCTTCCTTGCACTCCCGCCGGCCTTGCAGGTCCACCGCCGGGCCCCTCATGGGGCTCGGCAGTGGAGCTGCAAGGCCGGTGGTGGCGGCCGGGACCGTTGGGGGCGGGGTGTGTGGCTTTATGACACACTTCCGGTGATGTCAGGGGGTGTGGCATATGCTAATGAGTTAT